AGTGTTATTTTGCTTTAAGCCACCCGAAAATTCTTGAGGATTAATGAGGGGGATTATGGCGTGGGATACATGTAGCTTTGTTGTATACAAGGGGATTGATATCCATGATATACTTCTATTAAAGGAGTCTGAATTGATTAAGGGTGATTTAAGGGGTATCAGTAGCATAAGGAGGGAATAAGAGATTCGTGGGTATAAAAATGGACTGAGTAATTAAGGGTGTAGGTGGAAACCTGATACTGATATTCACTCAATCACTCGATATTCCCTTTATTCCCTTCAAATCTCACAATATCTTCATCAACCCTCCGATATCTAAAAATTTTTTGATTCAATATAGAGACCAGACTGGGTTCGCGAATCTCCAAATCGAGTAATAATTTTTTCTAGAGACTACTGAAAGTACCGTCAAAAACCGAAACTTTTTAAAACCCAAGAACGACATAAAAAAAGGCCAATGCAATTTACCTTTTTAATAAAATGAGAAAAAAATTAAAATTTTGAAAAATCAGAGAACAAAAGTTTCAATTTTTGAATGTACTATGAGTTTAAATATATTTTAAAATTAATCGAACCAAAAATGATATTTATCTTATAATTAAATTCTTAATTTGCTTTTTTAATTAACTAAGAAATTTATTACTTTTTATAAAGTGTTAAATAAAAGATAAGAATAATTTTTTTATTAATAAGCGAAACTTTTCAAAACCCATGAACGACACAATAAACGTGTTATATTAAAGTAGATTTTTATATTGAATATAATTTTTGGAGGATATTTAGATTTTTGTTATTAAACAGTAGGATAGTTTAACTATTAAAAAAATTTTTTTTATAAAATCAAAATAAAAATCAACTGAAAAAATGGTGCTTAATGAGTTAATAAAAATTTTTTTACTTAATAGTACTTTGTAATTGTCACAAAAAATGATAAAATTTCAAGGATCCGGTTAATTTTTATTGAGAAATTTAGTTCAAATCATAACAGAAAATAAAAAATCTTCGTTTTAACAGTCCTAAATAAAAGTTTCTGTTAAATAAGGATTTGACATTCAGCCTCAAAAAAATTTTTTTAAAAGAAAGCTCTCGAGCTCAATGGGCAGTATTTAGGTATCCTTTCGAAAATATCCGTAAATTTTTAAAAATAGTCATGGAAACATAAATTCGCCTGAAGGATAACAATTAAATAATTTGTGTTAATTAATGCTCTAATCAATTGTTAATTAATGCTAAATTAATATTATTATTTTATTTTGATAGCGCGCGAAGAAGAAAAAAATGTTTGTTGATTAAACATGTTTACCCACTATAAGGATTAGAAAAGCTTCTTAAAGGAGTGATTTTTCAGATCAAAAAAATAAGGAAAAATAAAAAGTTTTAATAAAAATTATCTAAAAATATAAACAATTTATATTAAATTAATTATTTATCTCACTTCTTTACCAAAAACTGGATTTCTTTAAATCGTCCACAATTTCGTGTACTTCTCTTCCTCTAAAATAATGAAAATAATTTCTTATAAAGGGCAAAGTTAATTACAGTCGTCGACATAAAGATAGGGACAAGAGTAATTTAAATGAAAATTAACTATTTTTCGGTCGAAAAATACGTTCTATATATCAATCGAAAGCTCTATTTATATCTCAGTTGACATGTTTCTGCATTTTTCATGAAAATGAAAATTGGCCGAGATAATCCGGATCTGCCGGATATACCAAATCCCACAGCCTCGGAAAAAATTTTCGGAAAAAATCTAACAAACCCATTTGATAAAGCATATTTTTGTGAGTATATACCACAAAACCGCTTAAAAATATCTCTTTCCGGACCAGAGATATGATTTTTTGAAAATGGCATTTTTCGCTTAAAAATTGAATTTTTTGCAAAAATAGGCTAAAAATGCCATTTTCAAAAAATCATATCTCTGGTCCGGAGAAAGATATTTCTAAGCGGTTTTGTGGTAAGTACTCACAAAAATATGCTTTATCAAATGGGTTCGTTAAATTTTTTCCGAAAAATTTTTCCGAGGATATAGGATTTGGTATATCCGGTAGATCCGGATTATCTCGGGCAATTTTCAATTTCATGAAAAATGCAGAAACATGTCAACTGAGATATAAATAGAGCTTTCGATTGATATATAGAACGTATTTTTCGACCGAAAAATAGTTAATTTTCATTTAAATTACTCTTGTCCCTATCTTTATGTCCACTACTGTATTTTTAGAATTCGAAATTCCCGAGTCCCTATTGAGAGATTTTATTCTTACATAACCAGGGGTGGGGTTTTAATTAAGGTTGGTGGATAGTTGAAAATTTTCAAATATCCGGATCCGATATCCGAACCGAAAATTTCTGGATATCCGGCCTTTTTCTGATATGGATATCCGTCATTCGCCAACCTTAGTTTTAATGCTAAATTTTGTTTTTTAAATACTAGGACCCGGGGTACCTGATGCTAGAGAGGGTTTCTTTCTTTCATGTCAAAGTACCGGTTTTTGAAAATTTTTTAATCAAAATCTCCATTTATTATGAAAAATTTGAAAGGCATTTTTAGGTTCAGATAACACGAAAGGTATGCAACAATTGGTCTTTTAATTCCTTAACCCTTTTACCTTGTTTCTGGAAGAAATATCCAAAGAATAGTTAAACAAAAACTCTGTGGAATGATAAATAAAGGAAGAAAACACCAAACTCCAATAGACGCATACAAGGGCAAAGTTAAAGTATTGATAATAAAAGCAGATAAGAAAAAGAAGAGATTAACAGCTGATTGGCCTGTAGAACGAAAATTCTGGGGAAATAATTCCCCTACAATGTAGAAAGGAATTGTGCCTAAAGCTATGCTGAAAATGAGGAAGTTGAAATTTTTGGTACTGGTCTAGTTTACGAGTCCAATGAACATTTATGAGTTTCCTCATCTAGCTCTTGGGGATCATAAACTGGATAAAACGAAACAATAGAACTAAAATCTCAGTCTTTATTGGAATCATAAACAAGACTAGTGCCTAATTTTGTAGAAATTACCCAAAACAGCAAAAATAAACAATATAAGAAAATGCACATCCATAACGGAATATTCCATTAAGTAAAGTAAGCCGGTCAAAAATTAAATATGAAATGAGGCTTAAAGTATTTGTGAGTCCAGCAAAAATAAGTAATAACCGCCGGCTTACACTAAAAATAAATTTTTAAATCAGAAGTTTCACTTAATCCAACTCTTAATCCCCGTCTATATAACAGCATTTACTCCCCTTCGGATTACTAATATCCCCGATATATCTCCAAATTCTCAAATACCTAGCGATATTCATTTAGTCTTGTAACTTCCCCAATATCACATTTAATCCCCTAATCCAAATATCCATATGAAAGATGGGGCAAAATAACGTCCTTATAGGTTTGACTTCAAGGGTCCTTTGGATTTCCTGCTTCGTGGATATGGCCAACTTGGTTTTCACCCTTCTTTTATAATCAACCTACCGTTCGGACATTAGAGTGCCTGGAATATTCGCTATTAAAGAACTAAAAGTACATAGGGTAGCAAAAAATTGTGCTTGTTCAATATCAAAATGGAAGGACAATAAAGTTGTTGCAACTGGCCAGGGTCCAATAGTTAACTGGAGAGAAGCAGCACTCAATATTGATGCAAGCAATAAATGTTTTTGACTAAAAATTTCCTTCAAAAGTTGAAAAATTGGGCTCTTCTCGTCAGTTTGACGTTCTTTCTCCAATTCGTGAAGAAATAATTCATGGTCAAAATTATCACCTTTTTAATTATTTTTGATTAAATTTAATAACAATATATGATAAGTATAATATTCAATGTATAATATAACCCTAAACAATATTTTAGGGTTATAATAAAGGAGACAAATAATATCCAATTTTTTTTGATTTTGTTGGTCCCCTGCTTCAAGGACTTTTTTCTTTTATGGGGCCTAATATAGAACTCAATGCACCCGTTATTTAGTCACTGTAAGAGTTTGGGTTTCCTACAATTGATCCCACCTAGTTTTATCACTATTAGAGGGGCATGCTTCAGATTAGGTATGTTTTATTCTCTACATGATCATTAGGTCTTGTCATAAAGCTGTTTTTTGAAATTAAAAATAAAAATATTTCACACCTTGATAAAACTTTAATGCCTCCAACGTTGCTTTTTTGTCCTGTCTTTTAAGATAAAGAAATTTTGGGGTTTCTTTTGTAGTAAGTATTAAAAGAGTGGCCAAAAATATAGGCAATAAAGCTATTCCTTTAAATAAAATTAATCCTTATCATTACAAAATTATTTTTTCTAGCCTGTTAAAATAAGCAAATTCTTTCCTAAAAACCACCCCAAAAGCATTCCAATATTTTGAACAAGATTTGAATTAAATCCTCCTATAAATACCACTAAACCTCTATATTTTGTGGCAGGATATTCCTGGTTTAATAAAATATATTTTGAGAATTAATAATTTTGAAACCGTTGCAAAGAGAGTAAAAGCACTAAAATTTAAACTGGACATAGCTGCACCAAACACTCGACTTATTAAAAATAATTCTGGTATTTTAAATATAACGGAGAGAATTGTTACTAAGGTAGAGATGATTAAGCCAAAATTTGTGTAGAGCAAAGTTGCTATTTTAAATGAGATTATTTAATTATAATTGGTAAAGTTGAAGGAGTTGAGATAGGAATTAGCTAAGAAGGGAGGGTGGAGTAAAATTGAGAGGGATATTGGTAATCTGAGAAGGATATTTGGGAGTCTGATGGCTCCGGGAGCTAACTACGGAGTCGGAGCCAAAGTTTGAAAAAGACAATGTCCTACCCAGACGGTCTGACGGTTATGTTTTCGCTTTTGCAAAAAATATACAAATTAATAAAGATAGCGCATTATTGTGTCGGATGGTGGCAAAGTAGGTACATCAATCTGGATACATTCTAGGATGGTTCTATTCCGTCACCCATCAAATGAATTGGAATATTAGTCAGAGTGAAAGTCACTTAAGTAAATTTATCCATGATAGAAAAATCCCCAACCTCTTCTTCCAGCCCTTTCACAGAAATAAGGAGCTGATAAATTACTCAATATAAACCCAATAAACGGCAAATTCAAAATAGAATTCCAAAACCACAATAAATAATTTTCTGAAATTTTTTGTCCACGTGCAAGATAAGAATCATTAATATATTTTTTAATATTTACAGCAGCCGTATTCGGATAATAACCCGAATACCATAGAAAAAACAGATTAAAAAATGAAATAATACAGCTAAATATGCAAGTCTGTAAAAGACGTCCATTTGGGGGAAATAAAAATTTTAACATTTAAAAATTCCTTTAATTTTTGGAAAATTAATTTATTAAAAAATATTGAGGAGTGAATGTAACTAATTAATTTATTAAAAAATCTTAAATATTGAAGTAAATGGAGTGAATGGAATCCAAGAATCAAGACCAGTTGTGGATGAAATTTTGAATTGAGGACTGCCGATAAATTGGGTGGTTTCTGACTTGCGGACTGCGGCTGCGGATTTTAAGATTAAAATTGCGGTTTGCAGCCTTCGGCTTTAGAAATTTATTTTCCATTCGCTTACACCTCTGATCAAGACAAAACCTCAAGACCAAGACAAAAAAAAGAGTCTTAATTTAAGTCGTGGTTTCAATATCGAGACAGTCTTTGAGGTAACTAAATACCCGTTTAATGAACTGACAAAACACTTAATTTTGAAAATTGAGCAATTAAAAATATATTAAATCATTTCTACTATATTTTAATATTTAAAAGATAATTTTTAAGGTGTCGTTTTTTATTTTTATATATAAAAATTAAATAAAAAATGACGTTTGATTTAATAAAAAATGATGAATTTTAAGTAATAAAAATATTAGGTATTTATTACGTTGAATTGTGCACAAAAAGATAAAAATTTTTTGAGGATCCGGTTTCTTTATATTAAGATTATTTATTACTTTTATTAGAAGAAATTCAGCTCAAATCACGGCAAAATAAAGAATAAGCAATTTTTGTTTTATCAGTCCTAAATGAAGGTTTCTGTTAAATAGGGGCAATAGGGGCTTGCAGGAACCGGGATACTTAAATTAAAATCTTCCTAAAAATTTTTTTGGGGAAACAAGCTCTATGGACAGTATTTTGGATATTCCCTTGGACATAGCGGTAAATTTTTAAAGTAGGTATGGATTCTTGAATTTGTCCAAATAATTAAATAATTTTTGGTAATTATCGTTCGGATCGATTTATAATTAAAGCCACTTAGTATCATTCTTTTGTACCGCGCGAATAAGAAAAATGTTTGTTCAAGGCCTGCTTAGGTTACCCAAACAAAGGATAAGATTGCTTCCTAAATGAGTGTTTTTCATAATATGTAAAAAATAAAAAATAATAATTTTTAATAAAAACTATGTTTAAAAAGGTCAACAATTGAATAAATTAATTTATGTTTATCACTCTGTTTCTATTCCAGGTCGATTTCTTTAAATCTTCTACAATTTCGTGTACTTCTCTTCCCCTAAAAATAATTTATTATAACCGTCAAAGTTAATTATTTTTAGAATTCAAGCATTTAGAGTGTTTATTATTATAATCAGAGCCGGGTTTCAAGTTAGTCACAAAATACTGAGTCGTGTGCTTTCTTAATGTTGTTGTGTGCCCTGCAGAGGTTGATCGGAATTCCGATTTCCAGGTTCCGACTTTTGAGCCATTTCCGATTTCCGAAAGTTCCGATTTCCGGCACCTTCGTCATTTCCGATTGCCCTCTGCTGCCCTGGTTTACTTTTTTTAATCCTTCACCTTGTTTCCGGAAGAAATATCCAAAGAATTGTCAAACAAAAAATCTGTGGAATGATAAATAAAGGAAGAAAACACCAAACTCCAATTGACGCATACAAGGGCAAAATTAAAGTATTAAAAACAAAACCAAACAAACAAAGAGAGGACTGGACAAGTGCTTGGCCTGTTGAACGAAAATTTTGGGGAAATAATTCCCCAGCAATGTAAAATGGAATTGTGCCCAAAGCTATTCTGAAAGGAGGAATTTTGAGTTTTTTAGAAATTTTGGAAAATACTGAATACCCAAAACAGCAAAAATAAACAATAAAAGAAAATGCACATCCATAACGGAATATTCCATTAAGTAATGTAAGCCGGTCAAAAATTAAATATGAACTGAGGCTTAAAGTCGTTGTAAGTCCAGCCAAGAGAAGCAATAAACGACGGCTTACACTAAAAATAAAAGTCTTTTTAAAAAATGTGCACATACTAGGGTTGAGCAAGATCTGGATCCCTGTCGGAATCGGACGGGATTAACCCGGTTTTTTGAATCCCCTCCCTATTTTTCAATCCCAATCCCGAGTCGGGATCATTATTAGAAATTTTGGAATATACTGAATACCGTTCTTTCTCCAATTCGTGGAGGACCCAATTTTATGTCGGGATCCGGATCCCGCTCAAATCTAGTACATAATCTATGATAACTATGTTAAAGTAAGATTTGATTTCCCCATGCCCACAACTTCTTAAGCAACTCAATCCACATGGCTAATTTGAGGGGTACTTAAAGGGGACGTGAAGAAATACTCGTGAGACCTACTAAAGTATCAAATGCTAGGTACGTACCGTTCCGACATAAAAGTGCCAGGAAAACTCGCTATTAAAGAACTAAAAGTACATAAGGTAGCAAAAAATTGTGCTTGTTCAATATCAAAATGGAAGGACAATAAAGTTGTTGCCACGGGCCAAGGTCCAATAACTAACTGGAGAGAAGCAGCACTCAATACCGATGCAAGAAATAAATGTTTTTGGGTAAAAATTTCCTTCAAAAGTTGAAAAATTGAACTTTTGTCTTCGTTTTTGTCGTTATTTTGACGTTCTTTCTCCAATTCATGAAGAAATTCTTCATGGTCAAATTTATCACCTTTTTAATTATTTTTTTAAATTAAATTTAGTTAGGAACTATTTTAAGGTTAAATGTACATAGAGGGAGTGAGAGACTATATTTATAAGTACACTATATTTATAAGTACATGAAACAGAGTCCCACAACACCCCCATTTTTTCTAATTTAAACTAAATTTTTTCACACCTTGATAAAATTTTAATGATTCTAACGTTGCCTTTTTGTCTTGCTTTTTAAAATAAAGAAATTTTGGTGTTTCTTTTATTGGAATAAGTAATAAAATAGTCAAAAATGTAGGTAATAAAGCTATTCCTTCAAAATTAAAAGAAAGTATTTCTTGACTTTAATTACTTTCTTGCCTGTTAAATAGACCAAATTCTTTCCTAAAAACCACCCCAAAAGCATTCCTACATTTTGGACAATATTAGCATTAAAGCCTCCCAAAAACACTGCTAACCCTCTAAATTTTGTAGCAGGAAATTCCTTTTAAATGAAATATTTTTTGAGAATTTAAAATTTTTAAAAACCGTTACAAAAACAGTAAAAGCACAAAAATTAATATTTGTCACAAATGACCCAAACACTCGACTTATTAAAAATAATTCTGGTATTAAATATATAACTGAGAGAATTGTTACAAAAGTAGAGATAATCAAAGCAAAATTTGTGTAGAGCAAAGTGGCTATTTTAATTGAAATTATATTAGTTTGTTGAAGGAATTGATAGAGATTAAAGATAAATACAGGGATGATTAGTGGGGATAGAACGATATAGGGACGGATGGAGTAGGGTAAAAGGGACATTGGGGGTAATCTGAAAGGGGCATTTGGTGCATAGTAGAAGAACGAACGCGACATAGTCTCTCTCGAACGACATGATAATCTGATGGTACTCTGAATGGTCTTTAAAGTTTTCTAAAGTGGAAGGGGCATTGGGTAGCATAAAAGGAGGTTAGGACAGTAAAGAGCCTCGTAAGAAAATCTTGGTTATCGAGATCGAGATTTTTCGAGATATTATGTACGACTCCCGTAGGAGACTCTCAGTCCTTTCTCTAGTACATAGTGGTCTGAAGGAAACACTGGATATAGTGAAACGGACATTTTGTATCATAACAGCGATATTGGGAGAATGAAAGGTGAATTAAATATATGAAAGTCAAATGAGAGAGATTTTAATGATTTTCAGAAATAAATTTAAAAATCCCCAACCTCTTCTTCCAGCCCTTTCACAAAGATAAGGAGCCAAAACATTACCCAATAAAAGCCCAAGAAAGGGCAAATTCAAAATAGAATTCCAAAACCACAATAAATAATTTGCAGAAATTGTTTGTCCACGTGCAAGATAAGAATCATTAATATATTTTTGAATATTTCCAGCAGCCGTATTTGGATAATAGGCCACATAATATTGAAAAAATAAATTTAGGAAGGAAATAATACAGCTAAATATACAAGTTTGTAAAAGACGTCCATTTGGGGGGAATAAAAATTTTAACATTTAAAAATGCCTTTAATTATTAAAATATAAGTCTATTTTATCAATTAAACAATTTGCATCCTAAAATTAACTATAAAATTGACCTTCAAATAATAAAGGTCCCCCGCCATTTCTATCCAATTCTTATCTTATTTTTGTTAATTACCATAAATTAATAGCTCAAGTAATTCTGAGAGTCAAAATTTAAGATTTTATTGCTCAAATTTAATGTTTTTTGATAAAATTTGATCAAATTTTTTGCATATTTTGAGAAATTCTGACATATCTTGCGAAACTTTTCGGTGCATATACATAGTATGTATATGCGCATATTTTAAAATTTTCCGCCCATAATTTGTGAGGCCCTAATAATAAATGATGAATTAAATCTGTGTCCCCAGAATAGAAGAACCTGGGTTTCAGATATATCCTATTACATCTATAGAATCGAGTTGTACAGTAGTAATATTCTTAAACCTTGTTTAGTATTAATTAGATTTGATCAAGACGAGACCGATACCGAGATTCTCGGCTTTTTTCCAATATCGGTCTCGGTTTTTTCATTCTCGTTCTCAAACCCGATACCGATACCGAGATTCTCGGTCCATTTCTCGGCGAGAAACGATACTGACTCAAAGAAACAAAATCCTCAATATTGTCCAAGTTTTCGTCCATAATTTTTTCGGATATCCGTCCATAACAGAGAAAGGTATCGGGTTCTTGAGTATCGTCAGTCTCGGTCTCGGGTTGGCCGATACCAGTATCGTTTTGATCAACTCTAGTATTAATGGTAAGATTCGATTGAAGTGAGAGACCTCTCCCCGACACGGAAAGAGGTCTCCGCGTTATTACAATTCAGTTATCGAGATACCCAGCTGCTCTAGTAAGCTTGCAGATGCTCTAACAACCCTATAACTAGTAATACTTTTGCAGGCAATGATCTCTAATTGAGCATTTTTTGAAAGGGACACGACTCTTTAAAGATCATTAATTTAATAAAATTTTTATTTAAATAAACAGAAAATTTTACTTTAGGGAGAAAATTTTTAAATTACTAGATGTATTTTTTATTTTATAGAATTAAGAAAAGATAAGCAATATTTTAGTAAAATAAGCTATTACAGTTAATTTTTATTGTTTTTTATAGGACAAAAAAAAGATAAGCTTCTTTGAACAAAAATGAGAAACTTTCTATTTTGTGTCAAAAAAATAAAATTTCTTTTAAAAATGTGCAGAATTTAACCTTCTTTTTTTATTAATTAATAAAGTGACGTTTATAATGTCTTATTAGAAAAGGAAAAAAATTAAAAAATAAATTCATTAGGAAACCTATCGGTCAAAATTTGTAAAAATATATTTCAAAAGATATTTCTATTTTGTGTCAAGAAAAATATTTTTTTTGAACAGTGACGTTTTTTATTTTTTTCTGACTTAATAAAATGATTTTTTTTAAGTTTAAAAATACTAGATTAAGAAAAACATTTATTAAAAAATCTGTCATTAAGACTAATACCTAAAAAACCAGTTTTAAAATAAAAGTTTCTATCCGAAAAAATTTTTAAACAGCCTTAAAAGCACATTTTCAGAGGAAGCCCATTCGCAAACATAATAAATAGTATTTGCCAAAGTACCCAAACCCGATATTCTAACCACAGCCCGTAGTCGAACAGAAATTTGAGTAGTATCATTACACGGTACATTCATGTTTTTAAGGTTTACTCAACAAATTTTCTTTTGGCACTATTTATTTTTGTATTTTTGTGGCCATTTTATTCCCTATTAAACAATTATAAACTCGTCCAGTGAAAATTCTAGCAGGAAAATTTTTAAAATCTACTCAAAATCTGCGGGGCATTTGCTTAGGGAAAAAACGAAGTTTAAAGTTTTGAATTGTATAGACCAACAAAAATTTATTTATTTAATTAAAAAATATTCTTCAAAGTTTATTATCTTTAATCAGTTCTTTTAATTAAATTTTCAATAAAGTTTGAACATTTAAGGCCAATTGAATAATATTTAGTATGATAAAGAAGCATTAAACGCAAAATATGTTCAGTTTCAATAGCAGCATTAACTAAACGAAAACATTCATCCAATCTTTGAGCCCCTTCAATTAAACCTAATCTTCGTTGATTATATCGAAGTAAAATATTTGTAAATTTAACAGACTCGTTATAAAGTAGGTCCTTTCCTTCGGGAGACAAGTTTTCAGCACCTTTTTTTTAAAAATTAAAGTCACTATTTAAATTAAAAGCTACTGATCTAATCTGAGCTACAGGTTTCAAATTAATTTTTGGGGTCATAAAATCAAATATTGAACAAAGCACGATCGAAAGAGCACGTAGATCTTAGTCGAATGCCACCAAAATCAGTTTGAACAAAATTACGATTAATTGAATCTTCTTTTGAAAAACTATTTGTGACACCCGAGAGACGGGTGCTGCAAGACCCCCTAGTAAAGCTTGGGGGCTTACACAAACGGCTCGTCGGGTTAAGTAGACTTTGTTTTTCACAGCTCTTTCAAAACTTATTCAACCGCTTTGAAGGGGGTTTTCTAAGGGTTTTAAATCTGACGCTTGTTAAAGTACATATATTCAAATTTTTACCCGGTTTCGTAAAAATAATAGCTATTAACAAAGCATATTCAACGTTTGTTAAAGCAACACGTTTAAAATGAGCAACAGATTTTGTATATGCAATTTCTGACCAGTTAACCATTCTAAGAATACATTTTAGCTACTTTTTATTTTTTAATAAATTTTAAATTAACCTCTGATCACGTGAATATTTACTGTTTTTAAGAACGAGAGCAAGCATAACACCATCTTTACGTATCCAAGTTTCAGAGCCTAATTCCCAAGATATGTAGGTGTTTGTAAATGAAGTAAACACACAATAAATCTGCCTTAGATATGCAATCTATTTTGTGTATAAAAATGTTTTTAGATTAATCGAGTTGGAGAATTTCGACATATACCAGGGGTATGGATACAAGTGATTGGACCTCATACAAGGGATTTTGACCACGGTATCTTTTAATTAGAAATTGTCAATGGACAATGCGTGGTGGAAAATGCACCAGTGAACAATGTCAGTGAAGTATATCGGAGAATTAGGAGGTATACTAGGTGATTAAAGATATTCAGGGGATTAAGAGGTATATTGGAAGAGTTGGGGGGGGGCTTAAGGGGGACTATAAGGGATATCGAGGGATTAAGGTGGATATCCCGTGATTTTGAATGCTTAAGCGGATTTGAAGGCAAATTAGGTATAAGATGTGTATTAAGATGGCTATCAGGTACTAATGATTGAATGGACCTAGTAAGGGCGACATTGGAGAATTTCGACATATACCAGGGGTATGGATACAAGTGATTGGACCTCATACAAGGGATTTTGACACGGTATCTTTTAATTAGAAATACGCCCTGTATCCCTCCCAACTCCCTACATTCGACATATGCCAAAAAGCCTCCGATATTTTTTAGTCCTTGCAAATACTCTTATGCCATACGATTATGGATTACACACAATCCCCCAAATCCTTGATATCTCTTCAGAATCCTCTGAAGGTTGTATGAAGTTCTCGAAACATAAAATATCAAGTTGACCTTATAAAGAGAGCTATAATAAATGTACATAAACACCTGATCAGATAAAGTCAATTTTTCAAAAACAGGCATAGATTTAGCTATACTAAAACACAAATATCTGTCAACAAAAATGCATTTTTGAAATCTACTATTAAATAATCCTTCACGTTGTACTGAAGATTCCAAACTTTTTAATTCATCCAAAGGTATTGGACTTGGATTTGGCTTTAAACCAAAATTTAGTTTAAATATCTAATTAAAATTTACCGAAAAAGTTTCAGTTAAACGAAAAATATTAAAATCAGACAAAATTATTTCTTCAAACAAAATCGGGCCATAAAGGAATATATCATCCAAATCATTAAATGCATGCATAATACGTTTTTTGGCTTCAATGATGGGTAAAATTGAGTTTATTTGTTGTCGATCTTTGGTGGATATGTCGACAATTGGAGGATTTAATACCTTATAAAATAATTGAGTCAAACCTAACTAAATATACACTCAATACTAAAGATGTTTGCGGATATACGGAAACCGATGTAATGCTTTCTCAGGACCTACTGGGAAAATCATTTCTGAACAAACTCGTACTTATTTCTACTAAAAGAAATATTCTGCTTCTTGGCCTTTTTAAATTTTCCCATGTATCGGTGAAAAGGAGGATACTCCACAAAATGTATCACCGACCCTTTCTGTATCAAGAAATCTTTACTATGTATTTTATTAAAAATTTCGGACCCGAATACCCGAAATTTCGCTTCTTATATTCGATACTGATATCCTAATATTTTCCAGGATCCGCCTATCTTATTAGAGACACTTCAATTTAATATAGGT